AGCACTTTGGGAGACCGAGGCGAGAGGATTGCCTGAGCCCAGGGGTTCGAGACCAGCCTGGGCAACTTGGCGAGACCTCGTCTCTACAATAAAAAATGAAAAAAATTCTCTGAACTTGGACCTGCTTGGTGGCATGATGGCCAAATGCACCAAGAAGGTTGGAATCGTCAGTAAATAGGGGACCCGATATGGGGCCTCGCTCTGGAAGACAGCGAAGAAGACTGAGATCGGCCAGCATGCCAAGCACACTTGCTCCTTCTGGGGCAAAACCAAGATGAAGAGATGCGCTGTGGACATCTGGCTCTGTGGCTCCTGCATGAACAGTAGCTGGTGGAGCCTGGACCTACAGTTGCATGTCTGCCGTCATGGTAAAGTCGGCCATCAGAAGACTGAAGGAATTGAAAGACCAGTAGAAGCTCCACCATTTGAGACGTCACTAGCCTTTAATAAATGGCTTAATTTATGTTAAAAAAAAAAAAAAAAGAAAGAAAAAAATTAACCAGGCTCGGTCGCATGCCTGTAGTTCCAGCAACTTAGAAGTGGAACGATCACCTGAACCCAGCAGGTCGACGCTGGGGTGGCTGTGCACGTGGCACTCCGGCCTGGGCAACGGAGTGAGACTCTGACTCAAAAAAAACCCAAAAAGAATGCCTCATTCACCATATAGCAAACATTATGAACTGGCAAAAATGAAAAAGAAAAAGAAACGAGATCTCACTACGTTGCTCAGGCTGATCTCAAACTCCTGGCCTCCAGCAATCCTCTTGCCTCAGCCTCCCAAAGTGCTGGGACTATAGGCATGCGTCATCGCGCCTGGTCTTCCCTCAATATTTATCCCCCCCCCGCACAACACAGATATAGCTTCTCTCTTATTTCTCAGTAGTTTTGGGGCCTTCCATAGGCTGCCCTATCTCTCTGGGCCTCGCCTCGGTGGGTCTCGCAGCACTCATGGATTCAGAGGAGCCGGGGAGCTTGGGACTTCATTGTCCCCCGAACTCCAGGTCAGGGCAGCCAAGGTCTCTCCGACCACTCAGAAAAGGAGCGGCAGCATTCCTGAGTTGTCATCCGGGTACTTCCAGGGTGTGGGGGGCTGCTTGCAGGGGGGGCGGAGAATTGGCCGACTGGACTATTTTTTTCTGGAGTGGGGAGCCTGAGGTCGGCGGGGAATCCCACAAACCACTCGAATGCAGCCCCGGTTGGGCTTTCCCCTGTCGCCAGCTGGGGAAATGTCTCATGGGTCCGGCCCCCCTCCTCACCCGTAGGTGTGTGGGCCCAGGCCAGCAGGTGTCCTTCTTGGGGTGTGGGGAACGCAGTAGCTTCTGGGCTGGGTCTCTACTGGGGCTGGTGACACCTTGTGGGGGCTGAAGCTTTGGGGCCACTCAGCTAGTAGGTCAGGCCAGCTATGGATTGGCTAGGACTCTGTCACCTTCCGGGCATCTCCTTTGTGCTGGACACTAAATGCTGGGGACATGAAGATCTCCACCCCTGCGTGCCACCAGCCACTTCCTGGAGCCAAGTGATGTTAGTACAGGGCCAGCGGGGCTTGAGCAAGCTGGACAGGGGAGCAAGTGGCCTGGTAGGACACATTATTTTTGAATCGGAGTCTCACTCTGTCACCCAGGCTGTAGTGCAGTGGCACGCTCACGGCCACCCCGGCGTCAACCTGCTGGACTCCAGTGATCCCTCTGCCTCAGTCTTCCAAGTAACCAGAACCAAAGGCATGCGTACCACACCCAGCTAATTTTTAAATTTTATTGTAGAGATGAGGTCTCACCATGCTACACAGGCTGGTCTCAAACCCACAGGCTCAGGCAATCCTCTCGCCTCGGCCTCCCAAAGTGCTGGGATTATAGGCTTGAGCCACTGCACCCGGCCAGGACACATTTAAGAGAAAGCTCTGGGTCTGCCGGAAAGAGCAGTCATAAAGCCCAGACATGGATTCTGCAGCCCACACATGACATGGAACCAGGTCAGAGCTCTAGGATTTGGCTTTGAGGTCAAGCTCACCATGCCATGAGCTTGGTGATTAGGCCCTAGACACAACTCTTCTGTCAATGAAGGGGCCTAGGGAGATGGGGGCACAGAATCATGCAAGAGCTATTTGAGGCCAGTTAGGGAAGGGACCACAGCCCTACTGGCCATGAAAAAGCCTCCTTGAAAGTGTCACTGCAGAGACAAGGCAGAAAACCTCAGAATGTCCCTCAGGAACAAGGGCCATATCTAAGTGGCCAAGAAACACACAAAAGACCTCAATATCACATCATCAGAAAGATGCAAATCAAAACCACAATGAGACCGGGTTCGGTGGCTCAGCCTGTAATCCCAGCACTTTGGGAGGCCGAGGCGAGTGGATTGCCTGAACCCGTGGGATGGAGATCCACCTGGGCAACTTGGCAAGACCTCGTCTCTACAATAAAATAATTAGCCGGGTGTGGTAGCATGCGCCTATAGTTCCAGCTACTTGGAAGGCTGAGGCGGAAGGATCGCCAGAGCCCAGCAGGTGGAGGCCGTGGTGGCCGGGAGCGGCCACTGCACTCCAGTCTGGGTGACAGAGTAAGACTCCAATTAAAAAAAACAAACAAACACAAAACCACAATGAGACTGGTGCAGTGGTTCAGGCCCAGTCATCCAACACTTTGGGAGGTTGAAGTGGGAGGACTGTTTCATGCCAGGAGTTCAAGACAGGCCTGGGCAACATAAGGAGATACCTGTCTCTACAAAAAAATCAAAAAAATTAGCTAGGCATGGTGGTGCACCTGTAGTCCCAGCTACTCAGGAGATTGAGGTGGGAGGATTGCTTGAGCCCAGGAAGTGGAAACTGTGGCAAGCCCTGATCATGCCACTGCACTACAGCCTGGGTGAAAGTGAGACCCCCACCTCAAAAAAACAAAAACAAAAGCAAGACCTCAATGAGATGGCATCCCCCACCTGTGAGAATGACTAATGAAAAAGCAATTCCAGCCGGGTGTGGTGGTTCATGCCTATAATCCTAGCACTTTGAGAGGTCAAGGTGAGAGGATTGCCTGAGCTCAGGGGTTTGAGACCAGCCTGGGCAACCTGGTGAGATCTCACCTCTACAATAAATCAAAAAATAAGCTGGGCGTGGTGGTATGTGCCTATGGTTCCAGCTACTTGGAAAGCTGAGGCGGAAGAATTGCCAGAGCCCAGCAGATCCGTGCTGGGTTGGCCAAGAGCGTGCCACTACACTCCAGCCTAGAGCCACCACACCCGCTGGTGCCCAGTATTTGAGTGAATAAATGCATGCTTGTGACAGATCTGACCAGTGAACACCTGAGGAGTCTGGGGAGATAGGAAAGGCAAGCAAATTTCAGGTGAAGCAGGGAGGAGAAGGGGGAATGGGGAAACTGAAGAAGCAGGAGACGCCTTAGGGAAGGCTGCTGGCCAGAAGGTGACAGGGTAAAGGGCTTGATGGATCCTAGCCAGTCCACAGCTGGCCTGATGTACCAGCTAAGTGGCCCCGAAGCTTCAGACCAATAGGAAAGTCCCCACGAGGTGTCACTGGCCCCAGTGGACACTGACCCAGGCCAGAGCTGCTGTACTCCTCACCCCCCCCCAGGAAGGACATGTACTAGCCTGGGCCCACGCCCCTACAGGTGGAGGTCCTCAGAGGTCCTAGTCACTCTAACCTTCTACCATCTGTAACCTGGGCTGGAAAGCCCAGAGCTTCCCGGGTCCCTGACTGTGCTGCTGGCAGATATCACCAATCCATTATCCTGCCAAGCACCCGGCAGCCTCGACACTTTGACTCTGTTAGACTGGAGGTGGCCATGGCTGAGGGCAAAGAGACCCAGAGGAGGACCTGCACAAAGTGCTACAGCGAGGCAGCCACCAAGCCAGCCTCAGTGCGGTCCTCCCCAACAAGCCACTGCCCACAGGGAGGGGGTGGGGGCCGGCCCATTCCTCAGCATCCCACAGCCCCATGGAACACAGAGGACTGGACTAGTCCTCCCTAAAGCAAGTCAGCGGTAGTGGCGGTCGTGGGGTGGCTTCGGGATTTGGGCTTAATCTCAAGCACGAGGGCAGGCAGGGGAAGGATTTGGTTTCCTGCGTTCGGATGCCCAGGCCCTGGCTGGCGCCCCGGGGCGCGGGAGTGAAGGCGCGTGGTCACCCAGCCTGTACCAACAAAGCCTTCCTTTATTAAATAGGGATCGCATTACATTCCTTTCAGAGAGGGAAATCCAGACGTGGTGAGGGATGTGTCCAGGTGGGAGCCCTTGGCCCTGGTCCGAGTGGGCTGTGAAGGGAGGGAGGGCCCAGGTCCTGCCTGTCCCACTCCCCACGCAAGGGGCCCTGGTGTCCAGGCATGGGCATCCAGAGACCCCGTCAGGTCTGACAGTGGTTTGGGGAGCAGGACTTCCTGGGGAGTCGGGAAGTGACAGGGGAGGGAGAGGAGGGACCTGACTTGTCTTAACAAAGCTTTGGGGCGGTGGAGGCCCTGCCCGCCCCTCTAGCCCTGCTGCCCGTGGGCCCTGGGGGCGCAGGGCAGTCCAAGGAGGCGGCCACCGGGGAAGGAGGCGCAGGATGGCCACAAGGGGGTGCTGGTGGCCCAGGGCTTGGCAGCTGGGCTGGCGGGCACCCTGGAGATCCCGCCACCTCCTGACAATCCCTTTCCGAAGACGTGCCAGCCACAAGGCACCTGCAGGCAGGGGTTCCCAGGACTGGGGAGGGGTGGCTGCAGCTGCCTCCCAAGCGCCGAGTCCACCCCCCCCAGTATGGCTCTGACCTCCTTGGTCTTTGGTGCTCGCTTGAAATCCTGACAATGGCAGGATCCAGTGGGGAAGAGGAAAGGGTCTTCCCCTGACATCCAGGCCCGCCTTGGCCCTCGGTCTGTCCCAGGATGGACTCTGGTGCTGGCTTGACACCTCCGCGACCTGTTCGTTTGTCCATTTATTCCGCTTCTGGCTCAGGGCTGGCTCCAGGACTCTGTCTCCCTGTCTGTCTGCTTGTCCTGGGCTGGTGTGTCTGTTCCAGCTCAGAGCCTCTCCAGGGCCGGGCCACGCCCTAAGCCTCCTGGGGGAAGAAGCCGAGCTTGGCCAGTGACATCTCCTTCCGCAGCCTCATGATCTCCCAGAACATCGGCTCCGCTGCAAGCAGAGAGAGGGATGGCTCAGGGGCAACTCAGGGCCACCTCGGGCAGACAGTCTGGGCCCCTCTCACGGCACCCTAGGGCCCAGGCTCCAGGCACAGGTGATCCACTGAGTGGCTGGACCTCTCCGAGTTTCCACTGTGAGCCTTGGAAACTGCACACTCGGGGGACCTGCACGGATCACCCTGACGGTCACCCCCACGGCCTGACGGAGACATGCACACGTGCACTGCCACACACTCACCAGTGATGACCTGGGAACCGCGTTGGACAAGCTACAAATGCTTCCCACCCCCATCTCCCTAGGGTCTCACGGGAACCCTGGGCAGTGAGCAGGGCCACAGCAGCTATCCGGGGGCTTGGGTGCAGACAGATGCTCAGGACCCACTCATTCCCTGGCCCGGCATGTGTAGACATGTTGACACCCAGGGTGCCTTGGCCTTGGCCTCCAAGAGGCCTTGGCCTCTAAGATGGGGAGGAGACGGCGCCTTACTCGGAGGGTCAGGCCGCACCGCTCCTGAAGCTTCTTCGGGTCACAAAGCTGGTGAGGGAGCGGGAAGCCAGGCCTGGCAGAATGGGATTCAGGGGACAAGGAGTGAATGGAGGACCTGCCGAGCTAGGGGCACGGTGGGGCAGAGGCCTGGAGGTGGGGACCTCGTGTTCAGGTGACCAGGGGGTGGCCACACCAGAAGCGAGGAACATTGGCAGAGGAGGCCCCGTTGTGCAGGGCCTCGGGCCTCAGGGGCCGGGAGGGATTTCTGGGAAGCAGAAACTCTTGGTGAGGCAGGGCCCAGGACCTCAACTCTGCACAGAACTCAGCTCCCAGGAGGCCTGCGAGCCCTTTTCTGATCACAACCTTCCCCCTCGCTGGCCTCCTAGTGGAGGAGCCCCAGCGTCCAGCCTCGGCCAGGGGCAGGTAGACACAGAAGGCACCTGTCCCCAACCCCCACTCCCAAGAGTACCCTGCCCCCACCTGCCATCCCACCACTGGCCACCAGGGGGCACTCACCATCCTGCCGCACCAGGCCTTGCTGTATGTAGCGAATGTAGGTGAAGAAATTGCAAACTGCGGTGATCTGTGGCAGAAGAGGGAAGGTGTGACCAGCCAGCCCCCGCATGTGGGGTCTCCCAACATGCCAGTGTGGATATGAGACCAAGGCAGGAAGCCCCAGGACCCCGCAGAGCCGGGCAGAGGTCGCCGACGGTGCCAGGGCTGGACTTTAAAGGTTGAATTAACAGCCACAGACGAGCACTGCTCCTGTCTGGCACGGTGGCTCAAGCCTGTAATCCCAGCACTTTGGGGGGCAGAGGCAAGAGGATTGCCTGAGCTCAGGGGTTTGAGCCTGGGCAACTTGGCGAGACTTTGTCTCTACAATAAGTAAAAAAAATTAGGCCGGGCGTGGTGGCTTAAACCTGTGATCCCAACACTTTGGGAGGCCAAGGTGAGAGGATTGCCTGAGCCCACGGGTTCAGGACCAGCCTGGGCAACTTGGCAGGTTGAGGCTGCCATGGCCGTGAGCGTGCCACTGAACTCCAGCTTGGAAAACAGAGTGAGACTCCAACTTAAAAAAAAAAAAAGACAAGCACTGCTCCTTATAACTGTGGCAACTACATTCATTCACTCGTTCATTCGTTCAGAGTTGGAGTCTCACTCTGACAGGCTGGAGTGCAGTGGCAGGATCACAGCTCACCATAGCCTTGACCTCCTGGGCTCAAGCCATCCTCCCACCTCATCCTCTGAGCAGCTGAGACTACAGGGGCATGCCCCCATGCTTGGCTAATTTTTTTTTTTTTTTTGTGGAGATGGGGGTCTTACTATGTTGCCTAGGCTGGTTTTACTCTTCTGCTCTCAAGCAATCCGTCCTGCCTCAGTCTCCCAAAGTGCTAGGATTACAGGTGTGAGCCACTGCGCCCGGCCCTTATGCCCATTTTACATGGGAGGAATAAGAGCCACCAAGGACAAAGCCACCTGACATAGTTACAGAGATCTCGGAGCTAATACCTGGCCAGGTTGAGAGATGAAAACAGGCAGCCTGCACAGAATCTATACTTGCCCTCTGACGGGCCTCCTTGCTCCGTACGTGTCACCATGCCTGGCTAGTTTTTAAATTTTTTTTGTAGATATGGGGGTCTTGTGATGTTGACCAGGCTGGTCTCAAACTCCTGGGCTCAAACAATCCTCCCATCTCGGTCTCCCAAAGCACTGGGATTACAGGCGTGAGCCACCACACCCGGCCTAGTTTATGTTGTTTTAAGACAGTTGACAATAATCTGCTATGCAGCAATAGCAACCTACTATACTGGGACCTCAACTGATTTGTAACACCAGGAAAGGCAAGGACATCAGAAGCCGTTCACCTGGGCTGCCCTGGGTCCCTGTGGCCTCAGGTCTGTTCCGTGCCCGGCCCTGTGACAGGCACTGAGGACCCGGGGTTGGCTCAGACACTGCCAGATGGACTCCCCTGCCGTGGAGAGGGCGCTGCCAGTGGCCTGACCTTCCCCAGGCTGGACCCCATCTCCCAGCTGCTGAGAGTGTTGGCCCCTGATTGCTCAACCAAGACCGCAGCCAATGGCTGACGAGCACAGGTGGAAAACACCAGGTTCTTGGCTCAGGTGGAACTGACTCAGCCACAAAGCCCCATGGGTGGCCTCCACCACTTCCCTCTTTCTCCCCCAGTCTCCATCTCAGGCTCTGCTTGGAGGGAGCCCAGCCTAAGGCAGGCAGAAGGTGGCAGGCGGCTGTCTGGATGTCCAGCACGCTGGAGGAGGAATGTCAAGTGAGCAGGGCACCCACGGGCCGGGGAGTGAGAAGCCGCAGGGAGGGGCGGGGGCAGCAGCCTGGCCAAGGCAGAGACATGTGAGAGGGCAAAGGCAGGGGCTGATGGGTGCTGCCGAGAGAGGGTCAAGGAGAGGCTGCAGGGGCGGTGGATGTTCGTGGAAGCTCGTGGGCAGGAAGCGGCAGGGATGGCGGAGTTCTCTCCCTGGGGGTGCGCTCTGGGGAAAGAATGCTTCTCTCTGTCAACTCCACACCCCCTTGGTCTCTCAGGGTGAGGCCACATCCTAAGACTTCTGACACCCGTTATCCCAGCTCTTTGGGAGGCCAAGGCGGGAGGATCGTTGGAGTCCAGAAGTTCCAGACCAGCCTGGACAAAACAGTGAGACCTCGTCTCCACATAACACACAAAAATATCAGCCAGGCGTGGAGGTGTGTGCCTGAAGTCCCAGCTACTCAGGAGGCCGAGGCGGGAGGATCGCCAGAGCCCAGGAGGTCCAGGCTGCAGTGAGCCCTGATGGTGCCCCTGCAATCCAGCCTGGGTGACACAGTGAGGCCCTGACTCAAAAAAATAAAATAAAATAAAACAAACTTTCAGGCCCTCTTCGGCTCATCCCCCACCCACAGTGTCTCCCCAGCACAGCCAGACACCCACCTCAGGAAAATAAAGTGGGCCTGGGCATGACTTGCGTGGGCCTTTCTGTGGAGTCCTGGTTGGGACTGGAAAGGGCCAGTGGGGACCTGCGGCCACTGAATGAGGGTCTGGGCACAGATCCAAGGGTAGGGGCTGTGGTGAAAAGAGATGCGGATCCAGAGTTGGGGGTCCCAGGGAATCCGCCCTCTCAGGCGTGGGACAATGTGTGCAAATGCCCTGAGGACATCACTGAGGACCAGACAGGCTGCCCTTCCCACATCGTCTGCTGCCCACAAGGAGCTCTTTGTCCACTTCAGTCCTGTTCCCACATGAGCCTCTAGGCTTGAGATGGTTCCTCACGCCGTGGTTTTCCGAGTTTCTAAACTCTTTTTTTTTTTTTTTTTTGAGTTAGCGTCTCACTCTGTCGCCTAGACTAGAGTGCAGTGGCATGCTCACGGCCACCTCAGCCTCGACCTGCTAGACTCAGGTGATCCTTTGTCTCAGCCTTCCAAATAGCCGGAACTATAGGTGCGCGTGACTACGCCTGGCTAAATATTTGATTTATTGTAGAGATGAGGTCTCACCAAGTTGCCCAGGCTGGTCTCGAACCCGTGGGCTCAGGCAATCCTCTCATCTTGGCCTCCCAAAGTGTTGGGATTATAGGCGTAAGCCACTGCATCCAGCCTTTTTTTTTCTTGAGTCAGGGTCTTACACTGTTGCCCAGGGTGGAGTGCAGTGGCACAATTATGGCTCCTCACAGCATCTATCTCTTGGGTTCAGGCGACCTTCAGTCTCTCTAGCACCTGGGACTACAGGCATTCGCCACCAGGCCTGGCTAGTGTTTTTATTTTTTTTGTAGAGACGAGGTCTCCTGGGCTCAAGCAATCTTGCCTCGGCCTCCCAAAGTGCTGGGATTACAGGTGTGAGCCACTGTGCCCGGACTAGGGTATGTTGTTTTAAGCTGCAACACTGACAGTAATCAGTTATGCAGCGATAGCAACCTACCACGCTTGGCTGTGTGGCCCAAATCAGCCTCTGCACCTCTCTGCACCTCTATCCTGCCCTGTGGGTCGAGGTACAGTCTTGGCTGTACTCCCGGGCCTGGGGACCAGAGTCCCAGACCCAGGTGCCCTTCAGGAGCCAATGGGCACTTGCAAGGGATGACTCACCCTGGCCCGGGAGGATGGTGAGATGTAGTAGTGGCTCTCGGAGTCCCCAAGCCGGATGCGGTGGCGGCAGGCGCGGGCCAGCCCACTCAGGGCGCATGTGCTGGGGGAAAGCAGAGGGGACCGTGGGGCTGGCTGGGGCTCCCCAGCCCGGGCGTGCAGGGAGGATGTGGCAGCTGGGGGGATGCGGGGAAGAAGGGCAGGCCTCCCCGGCCCCCAGCCTCCAAAGGAGCCCAGGGACGGGCCAAGGAGGGGGAGGCCCAAGCTGGACCCTACTCCCACCCCCTTGCCTGGCACCCACTGGGCACGAGAGCTTGGGAACCTCATGCCAGTGGGACCAAAGCCCCGCCCTCTGCAGCCTCTGAAAACGCTCCCCCCTCCGCTTTCCGGGGACCTCAGCCCCAGTCTTGCCCCCACCCCCACTAAGCAGGAGTTGGGGCCTGGCCGCCCCCTTCCCAACACCTAGGGCCTCTTGCTGTGTCCATCGGCCCCTTCTCACCCTCACTAGACCTCCATGGTCCTCAGCGCCTGCCAGCCAGCCCCCGCCAAGGACCATCCTGCGTGCCCGTCTCTCGTCCTCCCAGGCCTGGGTGACGCCGCTCGGTGTCCCCAGCCACCCACACGCAGGGCCCTGCTCCATTCTCCATTCTCCGGCTCCCCCTCCACTGGATGGACGACGAGGCCTTCTTCCCCTCCGCTCCCCCACCTGATGTCTCTCTTCCCCACGTTGCAGCTGGGGGCTTCCTCCAAAACCCCACAATGAACCCATCGTCTTTCCCTCTTGCTTTCCTGTCACCCGGGATATAGTGAGGGAGAAGCCCTCGTAAAAGGTTAAGACGCTCCTTGGCTGCAGGACTTATCAGAACGCTTGCTGCCTCCCGTGACTCTCAATGGACCAAAGAGTCCTCTTTTTAGGAGACATCTATTGGTGACTTAGGATGCACGGGCCTAGTGGGCTAAAGCCCAAACCTGCAAGGCTCTGTATACTCTGGCCCCAGCTCACTCTGCGGCCTCTATCCTAGCTCCCCACCCACCCACTGCTCTGCCCACTGCCCCTGGGTGCTCCTATTAATAGCCTAGCTGCCCTTAACTTCACTCATTCTGTTCCCTCTGTCCAAGACCCTTCTCTGCATGGCAAACTTCTATCCTGGCTCGAATGCTCCCTTCTCCAGGACGAGGCGCCCATGATGGCCTGGTGTCAGCCCTTCCCAGCCAGCTCTTGGTTGCCAAGGTGAAACCCTCCCAGGCTCTACCCCATCCCACCTGGCTGGTGTGCTCTGCCGCCACCCTGCTCAATGCCAGGAGAGCAGCAGCCGAATGGACGCCAGGGCTGCCAAGTTATTTATTGGCAGGAGGCAAAGCCAGCAACTGACAGTCATTTCCTGAGAGGAGTGGGGGCAGGAGCGCCCAGCAGGCCCGCCAGGAAGAAGGAGGCCCTGGCTCGTGACCTTCCTGGAGATCTGTCTCTTGTGGAGACCCCTGTGCCCCGGGCCCCTGCATCCCCCCCGGCCTGAGACTCATCCCTCCCTGCCAACCCCCTCGGAGGAGCCAAGGCTTTCCTGAGGGGCCAGGTGGGGGAGCAGAGAAGCCCAGCTTACTTGGCGCCACCACACTCAACTTGGGCCACCTTCACCGTGGGCAGCGTCTGCGAAGCCACGGGCTCGATGGTGAGCGTGTTGTCCTCCACGGCGGCCCGGACCAGGGCCGAGAGCTGCGGTAGGCCAGGATGGCAGGCAGGGCTGTGAGGGGGCAGGGTCCTGGGGGGGAGGGGTGGCAGGGCTGGGCTCCCCCTGCGGGCGTCCCTCCACCGCACCTCACCTCCTGCATGGTGAAGTCCAAACAGGGACCCACGTCCTCCCGGTATACCCTTTCCAGGAAGGGGCAGGTCTTGTCCAGGGTGGGCGATTCCCTCCAGGCCTGGAACTCTGCAAACAGGGTGGTGTCCACCTGCGGGGGAGGGCAAGCGGGCAGGGGCCATCAGGGCGCCAGGGCCAGCGCGGCGCAGCAGGCTGACCGCAGGGGAAGAGAGGCAGGGAGGAGGCCAGGTGGCCTTGAAGGTCAGCAGTTCCATCCCCAGCAGCTGTGCCAGGGAGACAAGTCCAACGGAAGAAGGACTCCCCTCTCCCCTGCACCCCAAAGAATGAAGAGCGAACAGTTGGGGGCCGTGGCTCAGGCCTCGTAATCCCAGCACTTTGGGAGGCTGAGGCAGGAGGATCGCTTGAGCCCGGGAGTTCAAGACCAGCCTGGAGAGCATTGCAAGCCCCCATCTCTATCCTGAGAAAAGAGAACTAGAAATTTGTTTCCAGGCATGTGTGTTAAGCTTCTTGGCACTACGAGATGGCAGACGTGGGTCGGGGTGCTCGCCCCCAAGACCCTCCCTGCCTCCTTGAGGGGGAAAAGTCAAAGCGTGACTGACGGGAAGTGACAGGTGTGGGGTCGGGCGGGGGGGGGGCGGGCACACAAAGCACACACAGGCACGTGCACACAGGAGGGGACACACACAGGCAGCCCTGCCCGCTCCCAGAAGGCCAGCTGGCCTGTCCTGGGCTGCATGCAGAGCAAGGGAGGCTGGGAGGAGGGGCAGAGTAGCAGTCCCTCTCGGGAGCCTTTACCTGTCGGGAAAAGGAGACAGAGGGAGTGGAGGTGGGAGCCGAGGGCTCCCTGGGCGGGAGCGGCCAGGTCGGCTCGTAGGTGAGGTGAACTGCCTTGCTGGGGACCACACAGAGGAGCAGGGAGAGCAGTGGGGGCAGCCCGGGCTGGGCCGGACGGACGGACAGACAGACAGGTACACAGAGACAGACAGGAGGAAGGAGAGGTTAGTGTCAAGTCGGAAGCTCAGGACTCAGAAGGTAGACAAGAGCCTTCCCTGCACCACCTCCCCGGAAGCCCCGGAGACAGAAACGAGGCCAGGATGGAGCCAGCTGGGCAGGCACCAGAGACCTAGGAAGCTGAAGGCCACCACGGCTCTCTGGGGTCTTCACCAAGGTAGCCCTAAGCTGAGCTCATGGCGGCCTCACATCTTACCAGTTCCTCCCATAGCCCCAGGAGGCCCCATTGACCATATGAGGAAACTGAGGCGGCCTCATCTGCCCCAGGACCCACAGCTATGAGTGTCAGCCCGGTTGGGACCAAGCACTCCATGTGCCTGGCTGAGGCGGCAGGGAGCACCCCTCCAGAGGCCATGCTTGTCTTAGGACATCATCAGAGGGCGCTGAAGACCCCTGAGTACAAGGGTGTCATGTCACAAGGGGGCTCCGGGCCCCAAGGCTGTGCCCACACAGGGTCCAGCGGCCTCACCTCAGAGGCCCAGCTTCCTAAGACCAAGTGGGGGTGTGTCTCTGCACACCCTCAGGGCCAAAGCCAACCTCCAGTGCAGAGACCACCACCTACCATCTGGACCCAGTGGGGCGGGGGGCTCCTGGGCCCCCAGATTGTCCACCCTGGAGGCTGCTGGCCAAACACCTCCTATCAGAAGAGGCTGAAGAGAAGGAACCTGAGAGGATGCCCAGAGAGGGACAAGACCGGCTCCAGGACACACAGCAAGAGGTCAGGCCGGTCCCCACCACCCCCTCTCCCCTGCATCTGCTGCCCACCTGCCATACTCACCTCTTTGCCCTCCCCGTCTGGGGTGAGGACGTGTCCCACGGCGGGGCACACCGCGGGACAGAGGGTGCTGCTGGTGCTCTTATGGCGCAAGTGTCCCTTGCGGGGCCCAGCCTTGGTGGGGCTTAGCAGCTGCGGGTGAAGCTCGCGGTTGGGGGAGGCTGGTGTGGACGTGATGACCAGCGTCTTCAGGGCCGTCACCTCTGCCTGCAGCATGTCGATCTGCATGGGACAAAGTGGCCGTCAACGCTAGCCCAGGCCTGATGCCGCCCTGGCCACCACTGCCTGCCGGCCCAGCTCAAGACAGCCCGTCCCTGGCAGCCCCTGGCGCCTAACTTCCCCCCGTCACCCACAGAGCAGCCTCCGAGGTGGGCACCAGACACCCATTTTACAGATAGGGAAACTGAGGTTCAGAAACTGAGGCTCAGAGAGGAGACATGGCTTGCCCGTGGTCACAGAGTGAGGAGGACTCTGTCTGGAAGCTGGCTGGACCTTCCACTGAGAGTTCTGGGACTCCCAGGAGCCAGGAATGGTCCAGGTCTCAGATTCCACAGAGAGGAAGCTACTATTCTCAGGAAGAAGCAACTTGCCCAGGCTCGCACGGCCAGACTGAACGAAGCTTCTGCTTTGTGAAAGGAGGCTGGCAGGAGGGAGATTTGCAATAACCACAGGACCCTCCCAGCTTCTGGAAGGCCCCAGAAAAGTCTCTGTGGCACAGCAGAATCACCAGTGGAGGCCTGGGGCACTGGGTCGTGTGACCTCAGATGCCCCGTCCCTTCCCCCGCCTCCCATCCCACCGGCCCCACCAGGCCAAGCGAGGGTCCTCTGTGAGGACTCCTGAGAGAGTCCTGCTCCTGGTGTGACCTCTTCTCTCTGAGCCTCAGTTTCCCTATCTGTAAAATGGGTGTCTGGTCTGAGGGTGATGGATGGGGTTAGACGCTGGTCTCCCCTGATAGGGTGGTTCTGAGAGTGGGTGGTGCTCGCAGGACTGGGAGGCAGGACAGGCGTCCTGGGCTGGCTCGGGTGGGCAGGAATAGGCTCACCTTGCCCCGAGCTTCCTTCAGCTGCTTTTCTGAGGCCGCCTGCTTCGTGTTGGCTTCTCGGACCATCTTGTGGGCTTCCTGGGAAGAGGACAGTAGCCCCTGCATGAGTGGCAAAGAGCCGACGGGTGCCCAGGAGACCCATTTCCTGGCTGTCCCCGCCAGCTGGCCGGCGTACCTCAAACAGGCTGGCTGTCAACTCCTCCAGCTCCTGTTCCAGTTGTTCCCGCACCTTGGATAGTCGCTCACATTCCTCATCCTTCAGTTTCAGCTCCTGGGGGGCAAAGGGAGGGGCTGTGAGCCCCTCGGGGTGCCCGGACCCGGCACAGGGAGGACCGGGCCCAGATGCCCAGGCTGCTTCCCCTGGCCATCCTAGGTGGGGCGCGGGGCCCCAAGCTTGCTTCCTTTGGTGCCAACAACGTGTGGTCATTTTCCATTTAGCCCTGGCATGAGGCTGTGGCCCCACCTCCCAGTTCATTGGAGCTTGGGACGGGTCTCCAGATTAGTCAAGATGTGTGAGCCGGGCATGGTGGCTCACCCCTGTAGCCCCAGCGCTTTGGGAGGCAGAGACCGGAAAATGGCTTGAGCCCAGGAGTTGGAGATCAATCTGGGCAACATAGCGAGACCTCGCCTCTACGAAAAATTTTAAAAATTAGCCAATCACTCATAAGCAAACCCCGAACATTTACCATAATACTGTAAGAAAGGGATTGGCAGTAGCGGGATACTGCCAGGGTTGGGAGGGGATACAACATCAATAAGGGTACTTGATCTCAAACCAGGCAAAGTGGGGACCAAAGGGAGTACCAAAGTAAAGCTCCTCGCCAAACTTTACCTGTATGATGTCCACTTGTATACCTAATCCTAAATTGTACCCCACATCTTTAAAATAAAATAAAAAGGCTAGGCGTGCTGGCTCAAGCCTGTAATCCCAGTACTTTGGGAGGCCGAGGTGAGAGGATTGCCTTAGCGCAGGAGATCGAGAACAGCCTGGGTAACCCGGTGAGGCCTCGTCTTTACAATAAATCCAAAGGAAAAAAAAAATTAATCAGGCATGGTGGCAGATGCCTGTAGTTCCAGCTACTTGGAAGGCTGAGGTGGAAGGATCGCCTGAGCCCAGCAGGTCAAGACTGCAATGGCCATGAACGTGCCACTGCACTCCAGCCTGGGCAATAGAGTGAGACTCCAACTCAAAAAATAAAACAAGCAAAGTAAAAATAAGTCGGGCACAATGGCTCATGACGGTGATCCCAACATTTTGGGAGACAGAGGTGAGAGAATTGCCTGAGTCCAGGGATTCAAGACCAGTCTGGGCAACCTGGTGAGACTTCATCTCTACAATAAATAAATAAATAAATAAATAAATAAATAAATAAATAAATAAATAAATAAATAAATAAGCCGGGCATGGTGGTGCACACCTGTAGTCCCAGCCACTTGAAAGACTGAGGTGGAAGGATTGCCTGAGCCCAGCAGGTCACGGCTGCGATGGCCATGAGTGTGCCACTGCACTCCAGCCTGGGTGGCAGAGTGAGACTCCGACTCAAACAAATAAATAAAATAAAATAAAACAACCAGGCAAGGTGATGTGCACCTGTAGCCCCAGCTACTTGGGAGGCGGAGGCCGAAGGACTGCGCGTGCAACAGAGTAAGACCCTGCCTCAACTGGACGTGGGTGTCCCTCCCAAGGCGTGCACAGCCCTGGCACGCAGTCGGCCTCGGTGAGCGTACCATCCCTCTCCGGGGCTGTCCCAGGCCAGCCCCTCCTCTCCGAAGGCCCCTTGGCCCGCCCGTGGCTCCCACCTTCTGCGCCTTGTGCAGTTCCTCCTTCAGAAACTCCGAGCCCTTCTCCCGGATCTCCATGGAAGAGCTGCGCAGTCGAAGCACGTCCAGCCGGGCGGCCGCAGGGCCCTCCTCGCTGTGCGTCTCCTCCCTCGCAGACGTCTCCACCAGGGCTCCCGGGGACTCCTTGTGGCCTTGGCAGGGGGCCGTGCTCTTCCAGGGGAGGGCTGGCGGGAGGCCCTGGTCTGGCTGGGGCGGGCTGGGGACACACAGAGGCATCAGTAGGCAAAGGGTGGGGTCCTGAGACCAGGGAGCTGAGGCCAGGGACTGACCCGGGGCAACGCGCCTGCCACTTGGGCCTCAGTCTCTCCATCCGAAAACTGGGATACTGCCGGCTAGAATCAGGGTTGTCACAAGAGCACACGGCCAAGCACAAGGTTTCTTAGGGGCAAGAACAAGGCTCATTCGTCTTTGTTGACCATGCTCTCCAGCCCAGGGCCTGGGGCTGTGCTTGGCACACAGTAGGTGGTCGGCACACAGTTGGTGCTCAGTTTGTGTGTGTCAAACTGATGGTCCACCCGCTATAGATGACTATAAATGTATCAGGGGCTGGGCTCAGTGGCTCATGCCTATAATCCCAGCACTTTGGGAGGCAGAAGTGGAAGGATTGGTGGAGGCCAGAAGTTCCAGACTCACCTGGGCAACATAGTGAGACACTGTTTCTACAAAAAAAAAAATAATAACCAGACATGGTGGCGCCTATAGTCCTAGCTACTGGGGAGGCTGAGGCGGGAGGATCCCTTGAGCCCAGGAATTTGAGGCTACAGTGAGATATGACTGTGCCACTGCTTTCCAGCTTGGGCGACAGAGTGAGACCTTGTCTCTTAAAAAACAAAAGGCCAGACACAGTGGCTCATGCCTATAATCCCAGCACTTTGGGAGGCCAAGGTGAGAGGATTGCCTCAGCCCGCGGGTTCGAGACCAGCCTGGGCAACATGTGGGACCTCGTCTCTACAATACATAAAAAACTTAGCCGGGCATGGTAGCGTGCGCTTGTAGTTCCAGCTACTTGGAAGGCTGAGGCGGAAGGATCGCTGGAGCCCAGCAGGTTGAGGCCGGGCTGTGAGCATTCCAGCCTGGCTGTGAGCACTCCAGCCTGGGTGACAGAGTGAGACTCCAATCAAAAAAAAAAAAAAGGCAGTCAAGTGCAGTGGCTCACACCTGTAATCTCAGCAATTTGGGAGGCCGAGGCCAGAGGATTGCCAGAGTCCAGGGGTTCAAGAACAGCCTGGACAAATAGGTGAGACCTCGTCTCCACAATAAATTGAAAAATTAGCTGGGTGTGGTGGCACACACCTGGAGTTCCAGGTGAGGGAGAAAGATCATCTGAGCACAGCAGGTGGAGGCTGCAGTGGCCGTGAGCGTGCCACTGCACTCCAGCTTGGGCAACCGTGAGACTGACTCATAAAAAAGAAAAGCATCAAGGCCGAGAATAAGAATCTCTGCTTTTATGGAGGAAAGCCAGTTCGAAGGGGCCTTCCTCAAAGGCCACTGAACGGTCATAGGGGATGTGGGGAAAACCGAGGAGGCAACGTAAGCGGGAGCTGCCTTCCCGGATACAGCTAATACAGATTCTAGGCCTCCTGGGGTGGACCGGAGAGGAAGGATGAGGCCAGGGCAGGCAGGGATGAGGCAGCAAGATTCTACAGACCCACTTCCTGCTCCCTGGACTTTGTGGGAAGCAGGCCGGGCTCTCCCTCAGCCTCCGTTGTGAGCTCAGGCAGACACCCTGGAGCTGAGGACCCTGGAGGCCGTGTGTGGCCTCTGCCTTCATTCCTCCCCCAGCCACGCCGCCCCCTCGGAAGTAGACCCTGAGAGGGAAGGGAGGGAGAGGGCCTGGCCAGCGGTGGTTTGTGCCAAGACAGCACCTCTGGACTCGCTTACTCAGCAAAAGCCGGAGGTTCCTGAGCCAGCAGCTTCTGAGCCCCAGCGGCCCAGCTGGGGCAGGGGGCTGGGCAGGCCGCTGATAACAGTGGGAAAGTGGGGGAGGGGCGGCCCAGAGGCTGGAGATGAGCCCAAGGAGACAGTGGGGCTCAGGGTTGCCGGG